GAGCAGATGTGAAAACTATGCTGATGAGGGGTGGAGGTCGCCCCCCTCCGCATATAGATGTCGTGGCATTTCCGTATCATATCCCACATGCTTGCTTGGAGCACGTGAAACACATTCACGTTTTTTTCTGCAATCGATATCTTACTACTCCACCATTCACAGCTTTTACAATTCGATTGTATTTCACATAAGACTCTACAAGGCTTGAAGCGTCTCTTCACCTTGTAAGTTAGCACAGTCTTAGGTTTTGCGCATCCAACGCCGGCTCCAGCAAGTCGCCACCAATTTGCTAGACGCCAAACTCTTGCCCCTCCCCTAACGGCAGCCAATCGCGCGCTTCGAAGAACGCCGCCTTCAGCGAAGTACTGCTGTTCAAATATTCGCACGGAAGTTGCCTCTGGGAAGGCCACGCCGCATGGTACGTCACCAGTTGCCCAGCTGCCAAGCGTGGCGTAACCACAACAAACGGGTAACGTGCAGTTAGAACTCGGCTCGACTTTTCGGTGAACCGGCCGCGGGCCGTCGGAAGCGGGTCAGTATGAGATCGACCCGCGCCCATCAGCTGGCTTCCGACCACGCTCGAGGTCTTATAATTATATCACAGCCAAATTAACGTCCGCAGGCGCTCTCGCCACTGAACGAGATTCCGGTGACGTTTGACCACGGTCTTGTTATTGTGCCACATCCCAGGCTGGGTTCGCTCAAGTTTCCTCGACTGACGCGTAGCCTGGCTCACCCAAGTTCTCGTCATCGAACCATAGTTGCACCCGGTCACGCTTTATCGATCGGCAAGACCTGCGCTCCCTTGTGCCTTACCATTGCGCTGCCGCTGTGGATATGATTGCTCGTCCTCGTGATTAACCGCATGCGTTTAATAAACGATGAAATAACGCATGCTCGGCTGTGCGCAGCCATGTTTGCTTATGTACTCAAGATTGCACCGAGGAGCTCATAGAGGCCTTTTGAGGTCTGGCGTACGTATTTTAAAGGTCATATAAGTGTTATGGAGAAAAATTCCTGTCAAAACCTTAAAAAAACGTCTTTATAAGCTTTCGTCATGGCCTTAGGGGCCCAAACCTCCCGTTGAGGACACAGAGCGATAGACAGCCGAATGTCATCAGAGCTCCACCTGTGACTGCACAACAGTCACAGCTGTGCCCAATCACGTTCTTGTGATTGGACCGAGACCAAGCCCGCTCCCTTATTGCTGGAAGGTAATTCACCCATAGATACGAAGAGCCCAGTCAATGGGGAATCACAGTAGTGGTTACGCTCGTTCGTGTTCATGACTGACCTCATGCTGTCGCGGGATGTCTCAAGCTCACGACTCGCTCACAATTATAGTGATGGATGACCAAGGACTACAGGCTGAAAAAACAGATTTGTTTTCACCACAGAATATGTTTATGCATTAAATACGCATTGTAACGGAATATTGAAGGCCATCATTGCCTGGTAAAACTGTGCAAATGTATTTATGCAAATAACAAAACTCTCAACAAGCAGAGGGTCCCGATAGTGTGGTAGTTAAGCTGCGCGTCTGGGAAACCAGAGGTACGGGGTTCGATCCTCCGCGGTGCCCACCCTTCCTGCCAGGGTGAGAAGCGGGCGACGTCATATAGCCTCAGCAGCCGAGTGCATTGTTAGATCCCAATGACATATACTTAACAAACAGCATAATAACAAACACTCATATCACACACAGCACGTGCTTAAGAAGCTGCCATATGAAACAGAGTTGATAACTCATGCTGAGAAGAGACGAGAGACCGTGCTGGGCCCTCCTGTCGTAGTGAGGTACGTTCGTGACGTGCGTGCCAGCCACGTGACCCGGCTGATTGCCCCTCACCTTTGAGCCGATCTGGTTGCCACATTGTCCCGCCTGGATGTGCACGATCTCTCTCATCTTGACGAGCTACGTATCCTCCGAAACTGAAAAGACCTGGACATTGATGCGCGTCCGTACAAAAGTGATTGTCAGTCACTTGGCTGCGCAATTATCTGCAAGTATTTTTGGTTTACTCTCCACCTACTTACAGCTCGGGTATCACTGAAAAATAGCTGTTACGGTCACTCGTCACATATGCGTTCAGTCATCAGGCAGAGGCATTACTTTCGTGGTCATTAAGAACTAGAAAAAATTAGCCTGGTGATTCGGCTTTTAGTTGAGGAAAATAAAATCAGCCTTCCAATAAACAGTTGTCCAGCGCATAACATATCATTCTCTGCCTTGTTTTGAGTCACAACGCCATAGACTGAAACGGAAATTTGACCCCTGAGATCTCAGGCATCAAGAACTGTAGATACACCAAATCTACAAAATAGATGTGCCCGTGTGTGAAATCACTTTTTTCGAACGTTGAGACCCCCAGTTCATCTCAGGTAGCCAACCTACATGCCTCTACTAAGCAAAAGGTCACTGGCGCTCATTTCAGGTCAACGACCTCATTTGATCTTCAGAATGCCACGATGGCCAAAAACTTGCAAGTTCGCTTTGGTTTTTGAGTTTCAGTAAGCGTCAAGGATTACGCCAGGTGGCATGTGCCTAAAACAAAGTATGAATCAGGGTCAGTCAAGGTCAATTACCTCTTGCAAATTATACGTCCTTCGAATAAACCATGTATCGACCTCTCAGTGATTGAAAATTCCAACCGAGCGCCAAAAACTACGCCAAGCCATGTCTCAAGTAAACGAAATTTTGGCTTTGATCTCGACCTGATCATCGTGCCAGACCCAAGGACAATGAAATAAGTCTTCATCCTAAATCTTATTGTCTAGTTTCACCAGAAACTGTCTGAAAGTGGTTAGGCTTTGCGTAATACTTCGCTACTGCCGCATCAGGTTGAGTGATTCCCTAAGAACTGCCTTCTCTGACAGCCATAGCCTGACTTTGAGCTGGCATAGGTAGGTAGGTAGTGAGGCTTTGCAAGGTGGACCAAATTTTTAACTCCAGAAGATTGGCTACCTCAATCGCTACATTCTGGAAAAGCTGTCGGCGGTTGTATGTTTTCTTGAATTTAACTTCTACCGTCCAATAGAAGCGCACATCAAAGGTGAAGCGAAGCCGGGGTCGATCCGCAGTGGCAGCAGCCGGATTTGGAGCTCAGCCAGGATTTGTTTCCAAGCTACATAAGCTTTCAGTCCGTCAGATCGGACGTTCAGACGAACTTTGCCGACGCCAGCCGTTCGACAGAACTTGCCGACGTTGAATATAGAACGGAGGACATGCCCATATCTGTCAGCCTAGGAAAATATCCCACCTTGTTTGTGCAGCTTGTAATGATATCCATCTATTATGCAAGGTGTCCCCAGGTCGCGCACAGTTCTTATTGCCTTACGAAATAGAGTTCTTTTGAAGGTCAAATTCTTCAATACTCACCGAAAACAACACGTGATCGCCCTTGCCCGAATTGGACAATGGATTACATTTGTTGCTTGTAGTGTCATACCAATTCGTTATGCCTAGTAAAACAATCAAACGGCTCCAAAACAGGCTACCAGTGTGAAGACAAGAGCACAGTCAGCAAGCTCTTGCCAACCATAAAATGCATTTTCTTCTAAAATAAACGTTGCCATAGAGTGCAGCGCTCTTGCATATTAGTGTGGCTCATTTTGTTCATGTGTGCGTGGCACTGTTGCGAACGAAATACATATACGCATGAAATATTTAGATGCCTTCCTTCACCCTTGACACAAGACGAACATTCTATGGCGTTGTAGTGATGGGAGCCATGATTAAGTAAACGTGACACAATCAGTAATGTGGTGCATGTCCTTGGATCTATATCCCCTCTAGCGGACCTATGTTCGAATGTCATGATGGATGGGCTCTGCGTTTTTCTGACATAGCGTGCTGTAATGACCGGACAGCCACCAGGCCAGGTTGGGGCCTGAGCTGCACGGCACATGTCGGCCCGCCTTTTGAAGATGGTCTTGCTGCGATTCTGCCGTTTGCAGAGGCTTTGCTGGACGACATAAATCGAAATGCTGCATTTCGTCTTTCGTAAAGCGTACGGAAAGTCGTACCACAGCACGCACGCAATCAATTCGCTGTCGACGAGACCACAAAGTGGAGCAGCGTCTGAGTTAGTAAAAAGCTTTTTGGCACACAGCTATTAGATAATCCTCAGAGAAATCCATTAGCTCCAACTGGTCAATCCTGGAAAATCAACTAAATTGCTACCGCACGTATGCTAAGCGTCGCATCCACTAAAATCTAAAATGTGGCGGCTGTGGTGATCCTTAAACCCTTCGTGTGCCCAACTTACTCGTCGCGAATGCGTCACGGCATCACACTTCATCCTCACTTGACCTAGAACGGTTCTTTACCAAACGGCTGACAAGGAGTCAGTCTTAATCACACATTTACTCCTCACGCTTCGAAGGAAGACCACCTGCTCGACGACACGCGACCGGGGGTGTTCCCTCTCCCCCCGGTTACCTGCTATCCAGACCAGCTGTGAGCGTGCGATCTCCGCCGTCGGATGTCAGCGACCTAGGGCGCCTGGGGCGCTCTGTTCCGGTCAGCTTGCTCAGCCGCACACTGAGCCGCTGGCGCGCTCCTTGGCCATACAAACCGCATTGGAATTCGATGGAGGACAGTCGGCAAGGCAACGCGCGTGCACACAGCGCTGAAGTGGCGGCCGCCGCCGCCAGCGCCGCCTCTCGGGACGGCTGCGCAACATAGGAAGTTTAGCGGGCCCAGGGGTGTCGCCCTTGCCGCAGAAACAACAGCGAAAGGGTGAATTGCTGCCTGCATGGTGGCCTCGCGATAAGTATTTGTGCATTCTAAAGGAACAAGTTCTGAACGGAACACGGAGCGTTTGAGTGGGCAAGTGCGTCGTCCGTCATTGCCACGGCTGTTAGCATGCGGTGACCTCACCCGTTAGCTATCGTGATGGGGTCAGAGAGATACTACCAACTCTCGGGATTTGATGTCGGGCCTTGCAATCCAAATCAAACCGCACAATCTGTCGTGGCATATGAGAACCCATGCAGCTGTCCAAATGACATGAGTCTTATCTTGGCCATACGAAAAAGTCTATGGTGGGGATGAAATAGGCTCCGAAGTCTGAAGTCCGCAAAATACAAGGCACTGGGATCCAGTAAGAGGTCGAAGGGTAATAATCTAGCCTCAGCCAGGCTGCTGAGAATCTTCGATAACGACTACGGTAGGCTTTTTTGGCAACATCAAAATTCAAGTGCGTTACCCTAGATCGCCGTGCGCTTGTGTATCATTGTCCATGGAGGTGAATGAGGGCAACATGTATGGGCGTTTTGCGATATAACATGCTCTCATGTCACAATATCTGATATATTTGCTTCTTGAAACACAAATATGGGCCTTTAACTGGTTTTACCCTACGTTCTTGCAGGCAAAGGGTTTCGCACTGCATGCGCCTATCATTGGACCAAAATCGCCACAGAAAGGTGGCACTAACAGACCAATCCGGACAAAGTTATCAATAAAATCATCTGTGGTGGTTGGCAACAAAGCCAATATGTGAAGAAAAAGATTGGAGATGAAACATAGCGCAGCATCAGCACATGCTTTTTGGTCTAGACAGGAAAGCCCTTGCACTTCTGGTTTTTTATGTTGAGTAGGGACCTCTTATTCTGATTTGATCTTCCTGCAATATTCCAGGAGATACTGGTTACATGACTACAGCGCTCAAATATTGGCTTCATTGACAAGACATCATTATAGTTTCTGTTTATTGGTATAGCCAATGCCTGCTTGATTTAATCATTTTAAAACGGTGCCTTCTGGCATAATTAATATAAAAAGATGTCTAAATAACAACGCCCAGTTCATAAAATCACAATGTATTTATCCCCAATTAAATGGGTGCCGATCTGGACGCATTAATACGATAAATGCATTTGCCGATGTCAGGGGGAAGTCGGCGAAGGTACCTCCGATCTTAAGTCACTTGACATCGAAGGCCATCAGCAAAATAACATGAGATGACATATGGTGCGTGAAGAACATTGCTAGTAGTATTTTTTAGAAGGAATACAATATGACAGCAAATTACGCAGCGATCCCTGTGAAACAGCGAGGTCGATAGCCGTATTTGTTGTACTGGCCTTTGATCGTGTGGTTACAGCTAGGCACCCCTTCTGGTGTGCATGTCTTCCTGCATCCATAAAAGGTCATCGTCTATCATCTGTGTCTTTCTGTCTGGCTGAATATCATGGGTCCGAAAAATATCATGGATCTGAAAGAAGATCATGGGTCTGGAGGAGTAGTCCGTCCGTAAGATTTCTTAACGCAATAATGAGGCTGCGCCAGGAATGTACGCAGGAACGCGATGCACGCCGGTGCCCAGCCTGCACCTGACCATCGCCATATGGTGTAGTGTTCCTCCTCGGCTGCCCACAGCTCCACCCGTGCGCTGCTGGGAGTGCCGGAGCCAGGATCGGATTGCGGTGCTGTACCTCGGAGGGGCACGGGACCCCTCTGACCAATCAGCTGGACAAACAACGACCCAATAGAATGAGGATCACTTGTTTCGGAGAAGAGATCCTTACGGGGTAGCTTGAGTCGGGTGTGTAGCTTACGCAAGCCGTACATTAACGTGTGCACTTGTTTCTTTAAAGCATAATGTCTGGCGCTGCCGTATCATTAGATCGTTTTGGCCGCATTGCTCCTGAAATGAATCAGTAGCTGTGATTTTGTGGCCGCGTTTTCCACAACTAAATACTTGAACAAATTTCTTCATCTTCTGGGCATTGCTGGCCATCCCAACTAGTGTGTCATAAACCTACGATAGTCACTTTTTTGCGCGCCATGGCTCATTACCCCTTTTCCATGCGGCGGACATCGCCTCATTCTGTGTGTGAGGAGGGTGAATTTGACATCCTATGATCTCTGAAGCAAGTGAGCCAAGCTTGCCGTTCAAGGGCTCGAAGCGACTGCCAGCGTAAACAGATGCTGTAATAGCACCTAGTTAGTCGATCTAACCGCGCTGTTTAATGGTACGTGGTTAGTCGACGTCACATACAAATGGACACAAACACCCATAAAGAGCATTTTGCGATGCGTATGCCCCGTATTTGTGCTAGTGGTGGATACAGGATTGTAAAGTAAGAACGGTGAATTTTACCTCTGACTGATGCTTTTTGAAAAGCTCCGCTCCTGTTACGTGTGGCTGGCCATACATTCTGAACGTAGTCTCAAAGGATGGCTTTCTCGAACAAGAAACACTTCAAAATTTCAGTGGCGAGTAGGGCGTGCTCAGTAGGCCGATAAGAACGCCAGTTATTGGGCGTTGCTTCAACGCTAGCAACGCCACGGCGATTGAAAACCTGACTTATAACGCATAAAACCGGGAAAGTTGCATGAAGAGTCGTCGCATATGCCGACCGCCGCCACCAACGCCAGCCGTCGAGCCAGGCTCGCCTCGCTCAAAAGCCGTTGTACCGCCCAAATCTTTAATCACCTCGATTGACTCAGATAGCTGCGACTGATATCGATCGTTGATCGCAGCTGGCACTGACACCGTCCGCCGGCGCGACGCTGTCAACAGTACCATGGGCGGCACGCGAGGCTGAGGCCGGCAGCCGCTGCCTCCACCGGACCAAGGATCGCGCTCATGGCGCTGGAACCCTACCGCACCGCCTTAACCCGACACAGTCGGCGAAGCGACGCCAACGGATATTGATTGCGGATCGCGGCCGCGAAGGCGAGGCCGATGGTCAGCGTCGGAGCTGCGGCGGCGTCCGCCACGACTCGGTCGGAGCTGCGGCGGGCTCCTCCACGACTCGGTCGGAGCTGCGGCGTGCTCTGCCACGACTCGGTCGGAGATGCGGCCGGCTCCTCCACGACTCGGTCGGAGCTGCGGCGGGCTCCTCCACGACTCGGTCGGAGATGCGGCGAGCTCCGCCACGACTCGGTCGGAGATGCGGCCGGCTCCTCCACGACTCGGTCGGAGCTGCGGCGGGGTCCTCCACGACTCGGTCGGGGCTGCGGCGGGCTCTTCCACGACTCGGTCGGAGCTGCAGCGGGGTCCTCCACGACTCGGTCGGAACTGCGGTGAGGTCCTCCACGACTCGGTCGGAGCTGCAACGGGCTCCTCCACGACTCGGTTGGAGCTGCGGCGGGCTCCTCCACGACTCGGGCGGAGATGCGGCCGGTTCCACCACGACTCGGTCGGAGCTGCGGCGAGCTCCGCCACGACTCGGTCGGAGCTGCGGCGGGCTCCGCCATGACTCGGTCGGAGCTGCGGCGGGCTCCGCCACGACTCGGTCGGAGCTGCGGCGGGCTCTGCCACGACTCGGTCGGAGCTGCGGCGGGCTCCGCCACAACTCGGTCGGAGCTGCGGCGGGCTCCGCCACAACTCGGTCGGGGCTGCGGCGGGCTCCGCTACGACACGGCTCTTGAATTTAAAGGGTCCATTACAATCATGACTCGTCGCCATAGTCGTAGCTTTCCATATTAAAAGGCCCTTTGAAAATCGACAGTAAGTCTTGATTCAGAGCCGCTGGCCGCCAGTCATGTCAGGGAGCTCCTCGTCGAGACATGTGAGTCAGCGCCCAGCCAGGTTCGTGCTGCCTGGACCGGATGTTCAGCCATTGATGCCGGTTTCACGCGTTTACGCCTGCCGGCTTCACCCGTTCTAGTTCGCCGCTTTTGCCGCTGACGCTGGCCGGTTCTACCATCTGAGCTTGCCGGTCCCACCCGGCTGGGCCCGCCGGCTTCACCCGCTTGACACTGTAGACTTCGCCGGTTTGGGCGTGCCGGCTTCACCCTCCTGCGTTTCCTGGTTTTAACTCCTCTGGGCTTGTCGGCCTGGCCCTTCTAACCCGTCCCCATAATTTGAACACGTCCGTTTCACCCTTTGAATTACCCGTTTTTACCCCCTGAACAAGCTAGTTTAACCCTTTGAAATGGCGCGCCAGTCTCGGTGGCCGTTGCCGTTCTATTCATCCACATGCGTTCGGGCTAGGCCGGTGATGAGCAAACGCTTTGGCATATTAGAGCGAGTTCTCCGTGTAATATCCTTATTCTACGAGTGTGGTAAAATGTCATTTATTGTCCTTATCCTGAGTACAATGCCCTTATTTCACATGTCTATTTTAGAAGGCGGTGCTTGTTTGTTGGTTTTGCTACGCGGTTTCCGTGTTTGCATAAGTAGGTGATCTGTCATGGGTTGTCGGTCTGGGTACGCGGTCTCATGTCTGTGCTTTACGAAGCAATGATTTTTATGATTGGTGACCTCTGTGTGTTCAGTTTCACGAATTCATTCAGGTCAGGTGCGCACGTGTCAGAATATTTGGTGTTGTCGTTGCCTTTATGGAATCTGGCTGGGTCGTAAGTCACTGCTAAAAGGAACTCTGACAATATGTGCCCATAAGAATGGGCCCGTCTTAGTAAACATATTATTGCATGTAAATGTCACACCAGTCCGGACATATCCGTTTCGTGGCGTGACGTGTATGTTTGTGCGTAAATCAATGTTTTGTGTTAGCTCCAGCACCTCGTGGAGCGTTTTTCAAGGACGTCTTTTAGGTTAAATCAGCCACAGCATTAATTAGCCTATGTTGCGATTCTGCCAGATGGTTCAGTCCGTCTGGAAGTCACTGTAAGTGGTCATTTATCTTTTTCACCTGCTCGATAACACGTTTGGTATTTCCGTACCGCTCGCGGGTCCGAATCGTTTCGCCACGGTCTGGACTATTGACCCCTTCCGCTTGCATTAAATGCTGCGGATCATTGGCGTTCTATTGCGCGTAACAATTGCTATGAATCGGCCTTACATCGTTGACTCGATTGTTATCATTATTCTTTGTGCTGACAATACCTTCTTTTCACTCGCCAATTAATCTTGCAACTGATTCGGAACTTCAGTTGTCAATCATCCTGACGAATGTGGTCCTGGCAGCGTTATCCTGGCAGGAAATACTACAAAAGGGAGTCGCACACACACAACTAGCGTGTTCTTACACGCTAATTAATAATAAAATGCAACTAGCGACTTGTTCATACAATCAGTTGTAAGACTAGGTCAGTCAGCTGCTGTTGCTGGCAGCGAATTTCGGAATGATAACTGGTTGAAATGGAATGGAATAGTTTGGAATGGTGACCGGATAACGAACCTGGTTTGCGAAAGTTAGAGTTTTCCAAGCGTTCCCAAACTTACCCGACCTTTCCACAAGCAAATTTTTGGCTGGGCAAGCCTGCAATGGACATGAGTTCCTCTCAGCCCGGGCTGGTCTGCTGCATGAGTCGCCTCCGCTTAACCTGGTCTGCCGCATGAGTCACCCCTGCTTAGCCTGGTCTGCCGCATGAGTCGCCCTCAGCTTGACCTGGTCTGCTGCGGTGATCGACCTGCCGCCCGGCACTTCGTCTGACGTCACGGGGGCCGATCCATTCCCCAAACGACCCCTGCACCTTTAAAGCGTGCCGGCACACAATACCTGGAAACGGGACATCAACCTTTCAAGCGGCATGCGGTGGACACCATCGATTTGGCCTGGCTGAGTCCGGCCGGAGCTAATCCGAAGCTGGGCTAGTATTTCCAGGGACAGATGCCGGCGGCAGCTGTCAAGATACATGTCGACAAATCAGTGGTCATCGTCTGGAGGTTGGTTAGTCAGTGTCACCTTCACTCTGCTCGCTTGCTTGCGTTACATGGTGCAGGCTTGGTTGCCTTTGCCCAAGGGCAACCAGGCCCTGCTTTTATAGGGTTTATTTACCCTTGGTGTCAACGTTTATATGATCAGCAAACATGCATAATATCTGTCTCGTAATAGGGTAACACCACGAAAATTGTAATGCTGCTCTTCGCAGTCAATGTGTGCTGAGTAATCATCGATTACTCACCACATGAGAAAGCCATGAGAGAGCCATCCATTGTCTTCACGTGTGTAAAACGTGTAGATGGCGTCTCTATTGACTGGCCTTCGTGGCGGAGTTTCAGACTTTCAGAGTAAAAAGGGAGGTCAGGGGCCTAGCAGGAGCTCTGCTAAAATTCGAGTGCTAATTTAAATCAGCGTTGCTTGGATATCGGTTGGCAGGAGTCTGCCTAGGCCTGGCATTTCCAGGCGACGCCATCAGTGAATTTGCAGTTAGTTACGACTTCGGACTTGTGACAAAGCATTTCGAATGACACAAATATCTTGGGTGGATACTGGTCCCAACAAAAAGGACGACACGCCCTAAGTTAGTTTTCACCTGCCAATGTTTCCCAGTCCAGGCCCTACCATCCATTCCATTGATCCAAAGATCCATTGAAAGCGGGACCAATTTCGGGAATGCGGAGTCTACCAGGGAATGGTATACGCGCTCCGTAGCTGTCATTACGTGGCAAAGAAAAGTACACTCGATTTTTGGTTAATGTTATCGAATATAGCTGTGAAAAGTGGAACGTGATTTGAAAAGTTGGCTGTAAAAATGCAATCCACATTAGCTTGTTCGTTACAGTCATTGCCGAAAAACGCGGGTGCGAGTAGTTTGGCAACATCGGTATGTGGTTGTGGGTGTTTAAGCCGCAATGGAAAGAACGAAAATGCTGGATTACACAAAGCACATCGCAAGACGAATGTCACAGGGCGCATCGCGCCCCGCTGTCCTGGTCCAAAGGAGTCCAAAGGCGTGCATCGGGCTTGAACGCAAAGCTCCAGTTATTATAAACTCTGGACTGCATCGAAACCAGTGTAATTCCACTCCACGGCTTCGCGCTTAAGAGTGCTTCGGTATCTATCCATTATTACTTTGTGGCACGTAATCAAGCCATCCAAACCAATAATCTGTATTCATTTCCAGCAGCATTATGCGCTTTACAAAACCGTGCGAGAATGCAGCCTGCACGCCCCAAAACAATAGCAACCAGTGCAACTGTACGCTGTCATTACGTCCTTAGAAACCAATGGGTAGTTAGTGCCACAATGGCAAACTCAGAAAGCGCTGACGTGGTCTAAATGAATCACGTCGAGGACGGCCGAGCCGCTGCATCACGTCGCGTCCGAGCTGGCGGGGCTAATCTGACATGGTCCAGGGCGATGACACGACTCGAGCGGTGATGGCACAGAGCGACTTGGATAGATCCAACATCACTTATAAACGCCACTCCCGCACGGCCAAACGCACAGCACATCACGTCGGGTCGAGCTCTGGACCTAGGAGATCTGATCCGGCAGTTCAGTCATGTGGGATAATATGAAAGTTGAACAAGCAACGCAAAACAGTCTGCGCCACGTGACTGCTTAGCCAAACTGAGAACGTCGCGCTTGGAGCAGTAAGCGCCATGGAGACAAGAAAAGACCGAACGCAAGCGGGCGAACAGTTTAAGCTTCCTCCTCTTCAGCTTCCTCTTCATCAAACTCCCCCTCGTCATCGGCAGTGGCCTCCTGGTATTGTTGGTACTCGGAGACAAGGTCGTTCATATTACTTTCTGCCTCTGTGAACTCCATCTCGTCCATGCCCTCGCCTGTGTACCAGTGGAGGAAGGCCTTGCGCCGGAACATGGCAGTGAACTGCTCCGAAATACGCTTGAACAGCTCCTGGATGGCGGTGCTGTTTCCGATAAAGGTGGCAGACATCTTCAGACCACGGGGTGGAATATCACATACCGCCACTTTGACGTTGTTGGGGATCCACTCCACGAAGTAGCTACTGTTTTTGTCCTGAATGTTGGTCATCTGTTCGTCCACTTCCTTCATGGACATGCGTCCTCTGAAGATGGCGGCCACGGTGAGGTATCGTCCGTGGCGCGGGTCGCAGGCGGCCATCATGTTCTTGGCGTCGAACATCTGCTGGGTGAGCTCAGGCACAGTGAGAGCCCGGTACTGCTGGCTTCCGCGGGACGTCAGAGGCGCGAAGCCGGGCATGAAGAAGTGCAGACGGGGGAAGGGCACCATGTTGACGGCTAGCTTCCTGAGGTCGGCGTTCAACTGACCAGGGAAGCGAAGGCAGGTGGTCACGCCGGACATACAGAGGGAGACCAGGTGGTTCAGGTCGCCGTAGGTGGGATTGGCGAGCTTTAGCGTACGGAAGCAGATGTCATACAGCGCTTCATTATCGATGCAGAACGTCTCGTCGGTGTTCTCCACCAGCTGGTGGACGGAGAGAGTGGCGTTGTACGGCTCCACGACGGTGTCGGACACTTTGGGCGATGGTACAACAGAGTACGTGTTCATGATCCGATCCGGGTATTCTTCGCGGATTTTGGAGATGAGGAGCGTGCCCATGCCGGAGCCGGTGCCGCCGCCCAGCGAGTGAGTTAGCTGGAAGCCCTGCAAGCAGTCGCAGCCCTCCGACTCCTTGCGAACGACATCGAGGACGCTGTCCACCAACTCGGCGCCCTCCGTGTAGTGGCCCTTGGCCCAGTTGTTGCCCGCCCCGGACTGGCCTGAGGAAAAAGAGGAAATTAGGTGAGCATAGAGTAACGCTTTCCATATCACTTGAGCAGTCATGGGGCCCATGTCACCAACACTGAGACGAAATGGTCTATTAACATCGTCAATTACTGACCCTTGCTCGGTGAACCAGAAACATTCACACCGAACCCTCCAACTTCACCAGACACGTGCAGCATAGACATATGTAGTGGGCTCCCCAACTCAAGTGAAACATTACAAACAACAAAGACTCAAAGGACCGAGCTGTTGCAGCAAACCTCTCCTCGCCTCGCCTCGTCTCGTCTCGTCTCGTCTCGTCTCACCTCACCTCACCTCACCTCACCTCACCTCACCTCACCTCACCTCACCTCACCCCCCACCCCATCTCGCCTCGCCTCGCCTCACCTCACCTCACCTCACCTCGCTTCGCCTCGCCTCGCCTCGCCTCGCCTCGCCTCGCCTCGCCTCGCCTCGCCTCGCCTCGCCTCGCCTCACTTCACTTCACTTCACTTCATTTCGCTTCACTTCACTTCACTTCACTTCACTTCACGTCACTTCGCTTCACTTCGCTTCACCCCCCTCCCTGCCCTTCCCTGTCCAGTCCTGTCCTGTCCTGTCCTGTCCTGTCCTGTCCTGTCCTGTCCTGTCCTGCCCTGTCCTGTCCTGTCCTGTCCTGTCCTGTCCTGTCCTGCCCTGCCCTGCCCTGCCCTGCCCTGCCCTGCCCTGCCCTGCCCTGCCCTTTCACCTCCCATTACACTCCCGTCTCTTCCCCTCCCCTCCCCCAGCACCCCCTCCCCCCAAGCAGCAGCTTACCGAAGACGAAGTTGTCGGGTCTGAAGAGCTGCCCGAAGGGACCGGACCTCACGGAGTCGATGGTGCCCGGCTCCAGATCGATCAGCACGGCGCGCGGCACGTACTTGCCGCCGCTGGCCTCGTTGTAGTAGACGTTGATGCGCTCGAGCTGCAGGTCCGAGTCGCCATGGTACGTTCCCGTCGGGTCGATGCCGTGCTCGTCAGAGATGATCTCCCAGAACTGCCAGGCGGAGGTTCCCATAGGCGGTCACGGTGGTGTAGCGGTGAACGGGGGTCATACAGACCTCATGTGGTGACAACCAAGGGTAACAGATGTCGGGCATATTCTTATTGTACTGCGACGCCTTGGGAAAATAAGACACATTTCTGACAGGGCAGCGGAACTGAGATGTCAACAGGTGGGGCATTCGAAGTGCACAGCTGGAGGAACAGATGAGTCCGTGGATACAACGTCTTTTGTAAGCGGGGGGTCACGAAAGCGTCATGGACTATAGACGACAAAAGTTCGGTAATGCGGTGGTCAACACCGCGTAATCAGAGCCTACGTCCGCATTCCGCATGTACAGTCAGGACTTAGGAAAGAGGATATGGAAGTCAAAGACTTGAGTCATCATTCCGAAGAGTACAGCACGTCTAATTCGTCCATAGGCTGTTTCAATATATGGCATAATTTTAATGCCGAACGGACTGTTTTATATTTGTATGGAGTTTTAAAACGAGATGGTTGTTTTCAAGATCACTTCCCACCGTTTAAAGGTTATGCCCTTACCAAGGCTTCAAATCCACTCGTTTTTGAGCTAGACGCACGCAACCTTGTGCAGACCATTTCGCGCCGTCTATTTTGAAAACACTCAGAGATGCACGACATCATAGAGGCGCCCGACAAATTCCGCCCCTCAATGGCCATGCTGTGTTCAAGGCCAAGGAAAATGCGACCATTGACATCTTCGTGCCTGAAATACGGCAACACGAATCGCCGCATCAACGGACAGCAGTGGATTTAGTAAATATGCTACTCAATTCGCAATTGTTTGATTGCATCATTGAATGCTTGCGTGACGTTGAGGTGCTGCCAAACTAGCCGACCGAAAATACCACCTGAGCACTCACTGGCAACATTTCAATCACCCGAGATGTCGCATATTTTTCTGTGAGTTTGATTTGTTTACTTGCATTCACATGTTCGGCTGTTGCGCTTTTTTGAAGTTAGTCGATTACCAGCGGAAAGTAAACGACGTTTCCATGGCGTCATGCATCCTTGAATAATTTTCAAATGGTCTGCACGAAAAAGTCTGCAAATCTTCGTGGGCGTATAACTCAGAACCTCAAGAGGTTTTGTTCTGGGCGGGGGCAGGCTTTAAACTGCACCGAATGGTCTTCAAAATGGCTGTCAGTCAATACACTATACACATGTGGGACACTCTCTTAAAGCGAGTGTTCTACATTTGTGTGCGGTTTCAAACTGAGATAGGCATTTTGAAGATTTCAATGGAATTCTCATCCATGCCTTTTAAGGATTAAAACACTCTTGTTTTCGAGCTAGATGCACGCGAACTTGTGCAGACTACTTGGCGCAGGCCATTTGAAGGCCACATGCAAAAAGTGATAGAAAAGTCACACAAATAGCGCCACATCAATGATCATAGAGTGCTGAAGATCAAGAAAATATGGTAATATAATTATTCGTGTCTGGAGTACGTCAGTATGATCATAAAAGGACAGTAGTTTGCCTGCAACCAGTTGAACGCACCGAGCGTAAGTTTTGGACACGGCACGAGAGGTGGTTTCGAACCTGCTTAGTTTTGTGGATTAGAGTTCTTCCGGCCACTAATGACCATTTCAGGTCTCGGAATGAAGGAGGATGGATAACTGTAAGGCAGAGTCACATGTGCCTAGGGACCCAACCGCCGAGCCTAAGCCTTCAACTCTGCGACCTCTGTGACCCCTCTGCGGGGTGTGCGCAAGATTGCCGTTGTGGCGCGAAAACCTATAAAAATTGTAGAAAACCAGGCAAGAATGCTCCTTGAATTAGAATTGTTTAACCATCCAACGGTGCAAGGACAAATAGAACCAATGCTGATGTTGGGGTGGACGGACCGTCCACCCTCTCGTGGCCCTTATGCTCCCCTCGCCAACCACCGCGCCCTTGCGCTCCTTCTTGCGATGGCATGCAGTAACTCGTGATCTCATTGAGCTCAAGAGCGGAAACAGCTGCCCAGCGCCGGATGACTCAGGCATCAGCCACGACTGGGGACCTCGGGGGGGGGGGGGGAGGGGGGGACTGCGACAGTGGTCCGGGTCAACGAGATAAAGACGGCTTCAGACTTCCGCTCACAGACGCTATCGCACCATGCAACGCCCGGCGACACAAGAGGCGAGGGGAGGGGCAGGCGTGAGGTCATGCGTCACGTGGGCCGGACCGGACACCCGTTGCCGGACATTCCCTCCCCGGTCCCCGGTCGATACGTCCCGTCTGGACCGGCGAGGGCCCCTCCCCCCCCCCCCCCCGATGGGTCTGTCTCCGGGGCTGCAGACGACGATCGATCCCGGGCTGGCCCGCGTGCCCGCGTGCCCGCGTGGCGTGGCGCCACCGCTGCCGACCACGCCCTGGACGCCGCCCACGTGGTACTGCGCCCCGTGCGCTGAGCTATACCCTGGCCACTGCAGTGCGGGGCTGTACCCTCGTCACTGCAGTGCGGGGCTGCATGTGACGAGACGCACTGAGCGTGCTGGCAAGAGGCAGGGGTGCGGGGGATATTAGGGAAGAGACAGGAACACGGAGGATATTGGGAAGAGGCAAGGCTGGGTAACGACGATGCATCTCTCCAGCGCGCTCCTTGCATTACAGCGTGCAAGCGCTGCAGCATGACAGCCGCCGGTCACTCCTTACCAACCAACGGCTTTGGCAAGCGCTGTGACGTCGCATGGTGCCAAAATCTACACTGTAGTGTCAGTGTGCTGACTGCTATGGAGTGCTACCATGTGCGTCCGACGTTAACGCAAGCCACAGGTGGTTCCTCGCTCACACACCCACGGTCCGCGGCTTTACGCGGTCTTCAGCAACAGGGAACGCACGTCCTTAACAGTTGTGCTACGCCAATCGTTAGTCATTTCAATGCAAATTGCCGTACAAGTCGGATTTTTTTCTGCTGAGCCTTGTAGTCGTCTGTCATATCACTGATTGCCAGTTGTCGGGATCCTTTTCAATCAATGTAAAGACAAAAAAACAAAACAATAGCAGTCCGACAGCATCATAAAAAGCAGTGCTATAAATGCTACAGCAGGTAGGTACCTAACCCATATGGCTATTCCTCACGAGAAGCAAGACTTTGTTGTTGAATCAGGCTGCCTGACTCCACTTAGGATACGTGCTATCACTGAGGTGCGGGATCATGACGTCAGAAGTCACTGTGTTGCCGTTGGCAAACGTGGCTAAAATCACACAAATACGCAAATCTTATCCAATCAGCATCACCGAGCTTAATTCAAATACCTGTGGCAAGCCGTGTGAAAGCATGGAGGAAAACAATACCAGCAAGAGTATCGTGCTTTTGTGGCGTAGTACGCGAGAGGTGAAGACAGGTGCATTATCGTCATGTGGGTGATATCAACACGACGGCGAGTGAACTTTGCCATTTTCGAAACCCACACAAAAAATGTGTCAGCATTTCTCTTGAATGTGACTGACGCGTTAGAGCACTCCGATGGATTTGAACACTTATCAGTCGCCTCTTGTTGTGGTTAGGGACAACGGGATTCACTCATATTATGTATTTCTGCCCAAGGCTAGGAAAATAATTGGAATCGGCAAAGGCCTTGCCACACGGAGACTCCAAGTGCCAGTCAGAACAATGTGCCGGATGTTAAGAAATGTGTGGGAAAATACCGGGTTCGTTTTAACTCTTTTCCCGCGACGGCAGGAAATGGTTGCTGCTCACCTCCCAGACAGGTCAAACAACACACAGCACACACCCGTCCGGCAGAGTCCGACACTTGGGGAGCAGGTGTTGTCTAAATTGTCTGCGGACCGAAAAGCGTTAGCGGAGGTCGTACCACACGTTCAGACTTCATGCATTAGGTTTCTCCCTTTCTCGGCAGGCATACAAAAGAAGGAAATGTCCGAGAGGCAACGGTAATATATCGGTTGATTTATGACCGAATCGAACCGTTCTACCGGGAAAAATGCACGGATTTAGAATTCGGGGTATATTTTGGGAACGAATTTTGTTGGCAATAAACTGGGCTGCATGCCAGCGCAGATTTCATGGCCCAGCGCCCCATGCCCCTTTACACCTATAAGTTTGGGCCTAAGATTATTTGACCGGATCTCCACGAAGCGTCATTTACCCCTTGGTGGTTGTTTGTTAAATATGGGCAGTTATGGATACTGAAACTATGGACCAGGCGGCGTGGGTCTCCCTGGGTCATTTGCACATGCATCAACGTGCACCATGCAATTGACTGCACGCCTTCTCTATTGACAGAGCTCTGGCATACAATTTAAAAACGTCCCCAAACCGGCCGATCCATGTCCAAGGTAGAGCCAGGGAGCCCGTAACCGGCTAAGGAAACTGAGCCACCGCATTTTCCAAATACAATTATTTGCTGTCTTCTTCCTCAGCATCTTACGCCGTTGTGACCATGTGTTGTGACCTCAAGATCAAGACGATATTGTGACATCAAGGTCAAAAGTCTGTTTCAACCCGCGTTCTCCACTTTCTTTCGCAATTTGTAACTTGCACGCGTCTCATGTTAATGGAATCGAGAAGCAAACAGTACTGGTGATATCCCAATGTCTCAGGATACCACCTGACTAGGAAGCTTCCAAGCAAATATCTGAAATCATCATCCAGCAGCCTTTAAGGTATGATACTACCTATCGCTGAAAACCCGGCCGGCCCAGCCTAGGCTGCTGAGCCTAAACTGTTCCGGTTAGCTCACGTTGGCACAGGCTCGGTCTGTGGCTGCCATCGAAGCAACCCAGGCCGTCTGTGCGATATGCGATTATATTAACTAGAATCCAGCTGACCGCTGCCTGGTGGAGCCCATGTGCAAGCTAGTTGCTTTCCGGTCTCGACAGCTCAGTCTTCGCGCCAGTTCTGCCTGCCAACCGGTTTTAACCCATTAAAAACTGTCAGGTGCAGAAATAACCTTAACCGGTAAGCAAGGGGCGCAGTCAGGGTTTTAATAAGGGTGGCGGGGAGGGGGGAGGAGGATGCAGTGAGTACGCATCACGCCGATTTATAACTTCCCGTCAAGCGCCTCCACAGTGAAAAATGAAAAATCCAGGCTTAAGGAGGTGCGTCGCATGACGCTGGCCTTGTCCCTGCCGGCTACCGTCCACCCTACCACCGAAGCTTATCACACATCGCGGCGGCCGCGGACCGCGAACCGCGGAGAGCCGGCACCGAGCGCCCCGGGTTCCCACAGCGCCCGCGGCGCGTCGCATGCTAAAGGCGTGCGAACAATCGGACGAATGCGGCGCACAGCTGGGCAATAACGGTGCTGCGACCCGTCGCCGCGGCGATCGGGCGCTGCCCGGCTGGCGCGGGCAGCGGCGGGCAGCGGCGCGACACACGCACCCACACAGACAATGGCGGGGAACGGGCCAACTTTGCCGTGGAGGCGGGGTCGGGGGTCGAGTGCGCATCGTAGCCACTTGTCAACGCTTCTCTGTAGAAGGGTCGCGAGAACGCAGGAGAAATAAGACAGCCCCAGATTGAGTCCACAGCAAGGTGTTGCTGGTATTGCCGGGCTCACCATGTATCCGGCTCAGACAATGGCGGTACAATGTCTTCATCAGATACGAGTCGACACATAACCACAGGTCTATATTTTCCTTTCCGAATAGTTTTAGCGATCGATGCGCCAACTTTCCTATACGTTGGCTCAACTGCAGAAACAACATTCAAGAGGATGCATCACCGATGATTTCACGTTGGTCAGTCATAGATTACATGGGTGTAACCAGAGCTCCGACACTGGGGATGGGTCAAATCAGGATTGGTGGTCAAAGCAGAATCGGGGGGCGGGGCGCGGCCTGACCTGTAAATCGTGCGACGAGTGGAAAAACGTGAACACGTGCATTGGCCGTGCAAAATAGAAGTGGATAATATGCCATCTTGAGCCAATCAGGGGGACCTTCCCCCTAAGCCCCCCCCCCCATGGTTACACTCGTGACTTTTAACACAGTACATGTCGGATGTACACCAACCCCCTTACCTTAGAACCGATCTGGTTGCCACATTGGCCCGCCTGCAGATGCACGATCTCCCGCATGTCGCCGCCCGGTGCCTCGCGCCGTGTCTCCAGCTGCCGGCCCCCACGGTCCCCGCCCGGTCCCAGTGACTGGGCGCCGCCGCCGCCGCCTCCGCCGGCCACCGCCCCGGAGCTGAAGTCACGTGACCGGCCGGCGGCGAATCGCCGTCCACCGCGGCAGCCGTCGGCTCCGCCACGCCCGTCGGCAGAGGGGCGGGGAAGGGGGGGGGGGCTGGTATTAAGTTGTGGGGTGGATCCCGCCAAAGTTTGCTATCTAAGCTGGTTTCTTGCTCTCATTGCGAGGACAGATCTAATAGGGCCAACGGCCAACAGGATCATGACCCATCCCACGACGGTCTAAAATACAGAAAAGCAAACGGTTTTATTCGAAATTAGGGGAATTCGCGTCGAATATGGGGCATGACACCCACAGCTAGATTTTCGTCTCGTCAGAAACCCATGCTGAACCCACCTCGAGTCGGTGTCTGCACGGGGTCGTATCTGCAGCTCCCACCCCACCCCCGCCGTGTCGCCTAGCTGCGTGTCTGGGGAGGGCGGCGCCTAGCTGCGTGTCTGGGGGGGGGGGGGGGGGGTTGATTGCTGACAGGATCGGAGTCGACAGTGTGTTGGAGCACCTGTCAGGACCGGACTGCCTGGGCCGCGGCTCCAGCGGCCCGATCAGCTTCCTTGTGGCTTGAATTAGCTGTGCGGAGTATCTTTTGGGTGCAGTTCCTCCATAACCTGGTATGGTAGCATGGAAGGCCCTAACCGAGGCTCTGTGCTCTCGCCGATGGACGGTGCTTCGGCTACATTTCGAGACAATTCCAGGGACAGGGCCGTGCCATGTTTTAATTTATGCAAGCTTTTTCAAACCAGGCGACGTTTTTGTGCCTCATGTTTCCTTTCCTCGGATGTATGCTGCATTTCATTAAATGTGTTTTATTCAGTTTACACTGACAAATGAGCCATTATTGCCCAGGATGGTTTCGTGAGTACCGTCTTGCCTCGTTCACAAGCTAGTTTGGGGGGTGATGTTTTTCTATTCGCTTGCACGATTCACGATCGCCGAGGAAAGCCCTCAGTACACTGCGAAATCATACGCTGATCAGTGCCAGAGATTTCTGTCCCTAGAATCAAGAGATTCGGTAGGGGTGACATGATTCCGATTCTGAAGGTCACTGATTCTCAGAATCATCGTCACATAACTCTTGCCGAATCTTTGATTTTAGAGACGGGAATCACTGACACTGGTCAGCGCGGTTTTATCAGAGTGAGCTGTGTCGTTAAACCTTAAACAGCCGCACATAAGATTAAGATTACATAAAATTTAGATAAGACACGTAAGACACATAAGATTTTGCACGGCGTTATGAGCAGACATGAAGTATTTGTAAAGGTCGGGTTTTCCAGATATCATTGATGCCCTTGGTGTTTAAAAGGAAAGTTCTACATTTGAAAGTATCAGATGTGATCAAAAGCTCACTTATAACTGTTGGTATACTTTTATTTACCGACTATTGCCGCTTGTAAAACTCTGTCAAGAGTCCGCTGACCGGAGCGCGCCGTGACTTCCTCGAACAGCAGCTCACTGGGTCCGGCAGACACGACTTCTGGAAGCAGCTCAAGTGCATCTACATGACGCCAGCTGCTGCAGCGTCCGCTCCGCCCCCTCCGCCCCTCCCCCCCCCCTCCAAGATGCTGCCGATCTTTGCAACAGATCGGACTCCTTCAATAGCTTCTTCGCACCAGTCGGCTCCAACATCGCGGCCGAGCTGGGGGGTGACGTGGCGGCGGGACAGTCCAGCGGTCTCCAATCGTCGTAGCGGCCGCGCTTAAGCCGCGTCCGATCCCACCGTCGGAGCTGGGCCGCACCAACAGAGCTGTGAACGCATCGGGTGCGGCCAGCATCGACGGCGTCCCTCTGAGCGTGGTGAAACACTGTTTGGCTGTTCTCGCACCACATGTGCTGCGACTCGTTAACACATCCATCGTGACATGTGTGTTCCCAGAGTCGTGGAGGGCGGCTACTGTTGTGCCCATTGTCAAATCTGGTGATGAGAACATTCCGTCTAATTTTGAACCCATTTCCTTGCTTTGCCACTTGTCAAAAATCACTGAAAAAGGTAGTCTGTAACCAATTATCTCGGAACCTGCTCGAACAACAGTCTGCCTACCACCGTTGCCATTCCGCGAGAGACACGGTGCTCGACACTGTCGACTGGGTATCGCACAACTTACACAATGGTGACATGTCATGGGTCACAGCAGTTGATCTGAGCTAAGCCTTCAACAGCGTCGACCGCGGCGTCCTCCTTAACAGGCTGAGATAGTGTGGAATCGAGCCCTCGTGGTTCAAGAGCTACCCCACAAGATGGAGTCAGGTTATCAGAAGTGATAGCGCAGCCCCTGCACGCCACACGTGGCGTGTTGCAAGGATCGATAGCCGGACCGATCCTGTTGAGTCTTCTGATAAACGACTTGACGTACTGCTCGTCCAAATGTCGAGTCATTATGTACGCTGACCACATCCGGTTGCTGGACCGGGCGAAGGCAGATGACCAAAATTTCACTGCTCTCTAGACTCAAACTGAGCATATTTTGGCGACCGTAGAGAGCTGGTTCTGTTCTAGTTCTCTCAAAATGAACACCCAAAAAACTGACTTCATTCTTACTGAAAGCATGCAAAATATGAAAAGGGCGAACAACTTTCACTTCAACATCGCCAATGCCCTTATGAGTCACCCTCTCGCTTGATCCGACTGCTCGGTGCCGTCATCGACCCCGTTCTATCCTGGAACTCACACATCAGTCATATAGTCAAAACGTGCAATGCAATTTTGATATCACTGTTACGCCTGCAGCACCATTTCACCTAAGACAAAATGAAACTTTTGATCGAAACCCACGCATTCCCCTGCATTCTGTATTGTCTTTCGGTGTGGGAAGGTGCCGCCAAAAGCCAACTGTACAGTATCCAGAAAGCTACAGCTCTAGACGCCAGGGTCGTGAGAGGTACGCGGCATCGGACAGGATCGGTCCGACACTCCAGGCTCTGGGATGGGACCGAATAGAGCGGTTAGCCGAGGAGCGAGACGTCACCGAAGTCCATGAGGTTTTAAAGGGAATATTTCACATTTGAGGATACTGAAGGAAGCATCAGATACGAAGCAAGTTCCCAGAGCTATTGTATACTTCTTCAATGGAAAGGACTGCTCCAGTCGACACAATTTCTCTGTTGAGTAAATGTGTTCCTCCATACGGCATTGTTTCATTACGTCGTCGTACTTTGCACAACATTGATTTAGAGACAATGGACAATCGTTTTCTGTGGAAATCGTGCTTACGAACGCCAGATATAAACGACTCGACCATTGTGTCTTTTCTTGGCCCTGATCGCCGCATGGCTCATGGAATGGCAGGGTTTGAGTGACGTTATATGGCATTATGAGTTCCAAGGTGACCTTGAAGTACTCTCCCCGAAAAAGTCTCTCTATCCTCGCGGGCGTGTGGCTCAGCGACTAGAAAAATTTAGGTATTAAGAAGAACAGGATTGTGAACTGCACTGAATCATCTTCAAAATGGCCATTTCAGTTCAAACCGCATAGAAATGTGGAACATCTCTTTAAACAAAATAAAAGATAAGGTACGGGTACGTTTATTGCTCGCGTCACACTACATTTAATATGCTAAAAATTTTACCTCCGGCCTTTTTATTCACTTTGGGTATAGACGGCAATTGCTGGAGAATCAACCAAATTTGCGTTCAGTTGTGAAGGAATTGCTTGCTTCGACGTGCAAATTTTTACAAGTTACGGTAGGAGTTACGTCAGTCAAGTCGACAGTGAGTCAAATCCAAGGGAAGCAGCATGGCACACATTCAGAAGGTGATAGTTGCATGAGCACCAACGTCTTGGCTGCATTTAACTGCAATGTTAAAATGGATAGCCAATTTATGCTTCTGATGGTCATACAATGGATTATACCATAAATTGCGGTATCGAAGCCCACAACATCGAAATAAATTCAATAATGTTCAGGCGCCCGGGTGGTCGGCTGAACACGAGGTGCTCGGTCGGCGGATCAGTTTGACCCACTACGATAAAAAAACGATGGAATAGAACTCTAAAGTGGCAGGGGGGATATGATAACATATGAGCTCGTTTGAGTGTTTTAAGTTGCGACCAATAGGTCAGATAAGGTCAAAGAGTGGCAAAATCGGGATAAGGTCCGATGTGCCTTAGGAACCTTACATAGCCAGCTTTAACCTAGGCGCCTTTGCAGGCAAAGTGTCGTTCTGGTTCATTTAAAATCCGTGATCTTAAATGACCCTGACTCAGGTCACCGACCTTGCCTTTTTTGAGCAAATCAAAGAGTAAAAAAACAGCCGGAATTTTTTTTATATTCGAATGCATGATGGGCGTTAAAGGCAATCCCAAGTGATAAGTTCCTCGTAACAAAAGGTTAATCGAGATAATCTTAGGTTGGTGATCTCCTCCGCCCTTGAAAAATTCCACGAAAATGTGTTATCCCCAGAATGTCTGGCCATACCAACAGCAGGTAATGAATGTATTGCGCGTCGGTACGCAATCTCGTTAAGTTTACAACAAAATAATGATTTAGTGTGCAGCTAGTAATTTGATATGGAGACTGCATCGTCCAAAATGCAGATATTATAGATATATCATATCCACGGAAGACCCAGCGGATAAAAATGCGCAAAATCAAAAGTTCGGGATTTGTTTCAACATATGCCATTTGTGCGGGTTATCGTAACACAGAATCTGACCAGAAGGTACCGAGCGCATATCACAATTGTTCTGTCCCTCGGTAAAGCACGGTCTAATACCACACGTGAAACAGCGCAACATGCTGAGGACTTCTTAGGCATTAATTCTGGCCTAACCCGCGGCCGGTCGGAGAAGTTGACCTTCCGATACGGTTTTTCGAGCACAGGCCAACACGAAAGCTTGCAGCAACATAACATTTTTAGAATCTGTTCACTTATTAATTTGACAATCATTTGTGCGAATTTGAGTTTTATATCTACCAAGATCAGTGACTCAAGTCAGTTCA